TTACATTCAATAGAAGAGTGTCAATCAGAGAAATTGTCCTACTTTTTTTCTACCAATTTTTCTGCTTAGGATCCAAAGCATGTAGGGTTTTATAGAATAAAAGAACAGCTGTTTGAATTGTATACAGAAACATGTCAAAGGCTCCTGAAATGTCTGCAATTTCCGAAAAATATTATATTTGATTTTATGCATAGTAGGTGATTGCGTGCTTATTGTGGGCTTTTGTGTATAATGCCCATGCTTTTATTACTAAAGCTCAGCAAAATAGTTAAAACATTTGGTGTGCCACTGAATTTACCAATATATAACACACTCGATAATAAATCCCGAACCTCTATGTTTGAAATGGTTTATTTGCTTAATTAGTTGCCATCTAAAGATTACTTCTGATCATTTTCCAAGTTTTCATAATGCAGTTGTTGTGGCTGAGCATCTTTTCTTCAACAATTTCCATAGTTCAGTGTAAATATTTTAAGAATGAGTCATGAATGAAAGCAATTTGTGAAGGTACTGAGGTAGGAAGCATTCAATCCAAGGATACAGAAAATAATTTTGTAATCATATATCAGCTAACTCCTAAGGCTATTAAGAGACTGGACAAGTACTTGTTAACTTAGAAAAGTGGCTTGCCTTTAGACAGATGAAAACAGAAAATAAGGCAATTACATGACTGAGAGCTTTTATTGACATGCTATAAATCTTCAGATAATATGTGATGAGATTTAGCTATTTAGACAGAAATCAATAAAAGCTCCTATGAGAGTTCAAACAGAGGTTGCTCATCTTGTAAATTAAGTAAGTGGTATCTTTATTACAGATTACAAATCTGAAAAAGTTGAGTAATTTGAAAGCAGGAACGCTTGGTAGTCAAACATTTGTGAGTTGAGAACTTGAGAATTCTGTAAAAGTCAATACGAAAGTTAAAGGTTTGACTACATTGCAAGGAGCAAAGGAAACTTGGAATGAATTAGTACAGGAACACAAGTACCGAAGCAGAAGAATGTTTTCCAACAATGGGTGGAGGGAGAGCATTGGGAATGGTATTATACTGTATAATATATACAATATGTATATATGTATTTTATACACTTTATATTGTACTAGTGAGGCCACACTTGGAATATTGCATCCAATTCTGTTCACCACAATACAAAAACAGATGCTGAGGTCCTAGAAAAAGTGCAGAGAAGAGCAGAAAAGATGAGAAAGGGTCTGATGAACGGTTGATAAAAATAGGCATGTCTAGCCTGACAAAGAGAATGTTTAGGGCGGGGGTGACATGATAGCTATCTTCTGCTACTTAAGGGGCTGTCACAGACAAGAGAGAATTGATTTGTTCTCTAAAGCACGAGGAGGCAAGAAGCAATGGATGGAACTTTGAATTAAGATGAAATTTCCTGACAGTGAGAACAATTAAACAATGGAACAGCTTGGCTCTCAGAATTGTGAGGACTCCATCACTGGAAGTTTTCAAGAAAAGATTGGACAACTGTTTATCCAGGATGGGTTAAGGTCTCATGCCCTGGGCAGTGGGTTGAACTAGAAGACCTCCAAGGTCCCTTGCAGCCCTATGATTTTATTCTCTTCTCTTCTTATATAAATATATGTAAAAGAAGGACTACCACTTCAAAATGAAACTACCAAAGGCTCAGGTGAATAAAAGTTAATGTTTCACTTTAATATGCTTATTGAGGAGCACAACTCATTGGGAAAAACTGCTAGACCAGCGAGCGCAATAAGGACTGAGAAGCAGGTGTCTTTCTCCTGATAAAATTGTTATGTTCCATACAATATTTAATTCTTCTTCAACTAATGAGCATAAGTGAGACCAATGTGAATATTTTTGATGGCACAAAGTAATATTTTCTTTTTATTGCTGCTAACCCAAATCTTTAAAAATAAGATTAAAAGACTCTTGTGAATAGTTCCTCAATTTAAATTGAAATGACTTAAAACATTTCCTGTTTTTAATGTTACTCTAGAAAAGTTGACATGGATATTCCTGGACTTTCTTCTCATTGATTCATCATAGGATTGTCTAAGCAGTGAGTCCTACTTTTTCCCGAACAGATGACCTTTCATTAATGATTAAAATATAAAACATTTCTTTTTCAGCTTAGGGGAAAAGAGTTTATGACAAAAAAAAAACAGTGCAGTGTATCTTTCAAATAAGGAGCAAATCACCTCCTAGTGTTAGAAAAAAAAATTAGATGAACCCTTTTTCTGCAGCTATAAACCTGTTAAACGCAAAAGATACAGATATAATTGGCAGAAAGAGTGCACTTTTATCTCATTTTCTTATCTTAAAGACTTACTTTTTATGCCTTACTTGATATGTCCCTTCAACTGATAAGATTTTTAGGGTTTTAAAAATTCCCAGTTCAGCCCCTTTTCTCTGTTAACACAAAATTATGTAGTTCTCATTTGAACCACTCTCGACTGCATAATGAAGGACCATGCATTTTAGATAAGTATTTCTCAACCTTGGCAATTTTACAATATGGGGACCTCGTCATATCATATCATGCCAGCTAAGGAATTCTGGGAGTTGAAGTCCACATATCTTAAAATTGTCAAGGTTGAGAAACACTGCTATAAAGCTGTAGACAAACTTAAGTAATATGCTTCCTATTACTATGTTATTTCCTAAATAGTTTTATTTCCTTTCATTTAAGTGCTAGCCATTTTATAGTACATAAAAATGGTACTCCTAATTTTAGTTTCTCTTTGTATTATTTCTGATATACAAAATCACTGTTATCAAACAGAAACTTGATGGTGGACCTGAGTCTGTCTCATAATTACGCTCAGAGATGCTAGAACTGTCCAATGTCACCTAGTGAGCTTCATCGCTCAACTTTGATTTTTGAAACATTGTGAGAAACTTTATTCAACACTGGCTCTAGATATTCTTGCTGTCAATTTATTGAAAATAGAGAGTTCATGCTATCTGACTCACAACTTTGATACTCTAATTCCTAAGATATCAACTGCTTTCTGTTAACAAGATATTGGACACATATACAGGGTGTTCCAAAAGTCCATGCTCATAAGTCAATAACAATATGTTTTATTAATTAACATTTTTCCCATAGGAATGTTGCTGAACTTAGAAATGATCAAAGGTTGTGGCTGAAGGAAGTTGCCTTGCAACATTGCCTTCTCTGATTATTGTTGTGGAATAGGGACCTGCAGCTTAGGATAGCCAAAGAATGAGTAAAAGGACACTTCACTAATTAAAATATATGCAGGTCGCCAGAGCCAAATGGATTACAGCCCAGAAATCTGAAAGAACTGACAGAGGTAATTATAGAACTGCTAACTAATCTTGGAGAATTCCTGGAGAACTGGTGATGTCCCAGAAGGCTGGACAGGAGCCAATTTTTTAACATTCAAAAAAAGGAGGAAAAGAAAGAATTTGAGAAACTGCTGTCAACGCTGCAAATATTGTATATTCTTGCTTTTGACAATATGTAGAATTGTCTGGTAATTATGGGGTTAATACAGAGCAGAAGGGGGGTTGGGGGTAAAGCTCGGGAAAGTAAGAGGAAGAAAACATTTGACCTTCACACTAATTGGATAATGTGAGATATGACGGCTAATTTAGGGAGGGAACATGCTGAAAATTTAACTGCTCAGAGGAAGAGAACTTAGATCCTAGCATCCCTCCGTTGTACCTGTGCTGACATTTTGTAACAATAAAAGACTTTTAGGAAAATCAATGCCTGGAAGTTCTTTGGAATGTTTCATTAGCCGGAACCATAACAACTGCAACTTGATGTCTCTATCAGTCAAGTTTTGAGCAAATCATTAAATGGTATTGGTGAGTAAGTAAGCAAAGAAAGTATAGATTTTTTTCACACACAACCTTATATCCTTTTTTAAAAAAAAATCAGATTTATTAAATCTCAAACAGATAAACACAAAAGAGAAAAAGAGAAAAATAGGATGGGGAGGGATCAGAAAGGGAAAAAAGTTAAAGGGCGGACTGACTTCAGAATTTCTTCAGTACATGTATATATAGTACTATACCACAGAAGTTCCCAACTTCCAGTGCATGGACCAGCACAGGGTCCCGGCATGCCAGAAACTGGGCCATGCAAACAAGCAAAGCCCCATCTAAGGGATGCAGCCATCATGCAAAACCACGACCCCTCTGGTCTGTGGAAAAAACTCTCTCCACGTAACTGGTCCCTGGTGCCCAAAAAGTTGGGGGCTGCTGCTATACCATATACATTCCCAATTTGACATATAATATATGAAGTGCAGCACCAGCCAATCCACGTCTCTCTCAGATTATCTTAATAGATGATCTCTATCTGGTTGTCTTTATTGCTGTTGCTTGTTCAGAATATAATGCTAAGTATTCAGGTCACTAAGGGCTAAATGGCTACATGTTGCAAGCTTTATTTTTAGATTTTTTTGTGGCTACAGCTTTTAGTTCAGAAAAAATGAATCATAGAAGAACTTTAGTTAGCCTTTAGTCTGTATTTCTCCCCTTCTGGGATTATTATTCACAAACTGAGGATTTTGTTGGTGGTTTTATATCAAAGATTCAGATTTTAAGTTTCATTCCTTAGTTTTACCTCTTGTTCAAGATATGTTTCTTTCAGTAAAGATGATGTGAATAGACAAGACAGTCTTGATCAACATATAATTTGATTTATACAGGTAGCCAATGGGTATCTGTGAAAGAAGGAGCTTACTCTTGAAAAGACTCTTCAAAGAAAATAATTATAAAAACAAAAATAAATGTACTGAGACACATCCACAAACACTCTTGGTTGTCTGAAGCTTGCAGACTGAAAGGAGATTCTCCAGTTGTGTTTGTCTCCATCTTTCCTGCTCTCCCCTTCCTTCATTTCTATTTTTTTAACACTGAGAATCTCAAGCCAACAACTCTTGGGTAATGTAAATAAAACTGGAACCATGAAAGAGATTTTTCTACCCACAGCTCCTACAATGGATTGTATACAAATATATCTCAATACGTTCACAGGATGGAAGAAACAGAACCACTAAGAAAATATTTTAATAGCTCCGAAGACTATCTTCTTTTTCTATATGGACCAAAAAGCAGCCACCTGTCCTTGTCTATGACTTGGATTTATGCTCTGATCTTCATAGTTGGTGTGTCTGGCAACCTTTTAGTGTGCCTGGTGATTCTCAAGCACAGGAATTTGAAAACATCCACTAATTACTATCTCTTTAGCCTTGCAATTTCAGACCTGCTGGTGTTACTCTATGGGATGCCTTTGAAAGTTTATGAAATGTGAAGCAACTACCCTTTCTTATTCAGATTAGTAGGCTGCTACTTTAAAACAGCTTTTTTTGAGACTGTGTGCTTTGTTTCTATCCTGATTGTAAGCATGGTTAGCATAGAGAGATATATGGCAGTTCTTCACTCCTTCCAAGCCAGCCTGAAAAATACCCAGCAGCGAACTCTGAGAATCATCCTTATCCTATGGCTTCTCTCAGTCCTCTTCTCTCTTCCCAATACCAGCATCCATTGCATTGTGTTACAGTATTTTCCAAATCACACAGAGGTCCCTGGTTCTGTAATCTGTGCTGTGGTCAAGTCCATGTGGATCTACAACTGGATCATCCGGTTAACTTCTCTCTTCCAATGAGTGCCATCAGTGTGCTCTACTGCCTGATGGGGAGGAAAGTGAGTTCTTGACTAACTATGTCCTGCTTTTCTCTACTTTAGTTAATATATAATGCTGCACCTCATTTGACATTGTTACAACCTATACTTCATGTATCTTTGCAGTTTATATGGAAATGCATAATGGTTAAGGAAATATCACCGTATAGAAGTGAATTGCTTATAAAAAAAGCCCTTTTCACATTATTAAAGAAACCAGCTGTCAACACTATTTGTAACATAATTTCAGCTGAATTTAATTCTAACACCTTTACCATGATGTCATTTTATCCAAAGTTCTACTTTCTTTATTACTGTGTAAGATCAACAAGTCAGATTTCTGGCTTTCAAAGTCAGTCTTGAATCCCCGCACACACACACACACACACACTGTTCCAATTTTTTTCACAGGATTTTTTAAGGAATAATGTCTATATGTAAGATTCCAGAATTAACCTATGTGCTCCTAATTAAAATCAGAATGAAACCTGTTCATAAAAGCCCTGCATTATTGCCAAGTATATATTATAGCACAACAATAAACAGATATAACAGAACAGAAAACAGATACTGTTTAAACAGGTGGGAAAAAAGATGCACGAATAAAAATAATTACTGGGCTGCATTCTAGATAATAAAGTTTCTAAGCTTCAACAAAACAAGGATAAAATATTAAGCACAAATAAATGCCTGCTTTTTATGTTTTGCTAATTGCCACAGAATGAAATAATGATGATGATGGTGATGATGATGATGGAACAGATCTTGGAGGTCATCTAGTCCAACCCCTGCTCAGGCAGGAAACCCTATACCATTTCAGACAAATGGCTGTCCAGTCTCTTCATAAAAACTTCCAGTGTTGGAGCATTAACAGCTTCTGGAGGCAGGTTGTTCCACTGATTAATTGTTCTAACTGTCAACTATACTATACTTGTGCATTTGGTTTTTCTTGCCTAAATGTAGAACCTTACTTTTTTCACCATTGAATTTCATTTTGTTAGATAGTGCCCAATGTTCAAGTCTGTCCAGATTCTTCTGTATCATAAGCCTATCCTCTGGAGTGTTGGCTATTCCTGCCAGCTTGGTGTCGTCTGCAAATTTGATGACTTTCCCATCTATCCCCTCATCCAAATCATTGATGAAGATGTTGAAGAGCATTGGGCCCAGAACAGAGCCCTGGCGCACCCCACTACACACTTCAATTGTTATTCTCTTGTTTAAGTAGTAGAAAAAAAATGGCCAATAAGTTTACTTTTTGTCCGATATAATTTTGGAACTGTATCTAGATGCTTAGCAGAGAAAATAATCTGAGCAGCATTGTGATTACTTAGTTTCTGAAAAATGCAACTTAAGTTCACCTGATATGTTTAAAAAAGCAAATTAAAGGTCAAGAAAAAATAAGGAAAATTCACTTGGAGCAAACAAATCATATTATAGCATTTTTCCAGCATGTGATTGGTGTGAATGGTAGAATCAGTTTTCTCTTTCAAGAAAAATACAGATCAATTCCACAATTAGCTGGAGGTCAGGATGTAGCCCCCTCAGACTGGGCATTGCCCATTTTTCTTCCACCTGTTCCCTTCCCAAGGCTTTTCTTCATTTCTTTAGGTCCCAAGCAAGAAAATGTAAAACATTTGCCTAAGGGACTTCTCTATATGTGTTTGTGAGGGGAAAAAAGGGAGGGACTCCTCAGAATTTTGGAGTTATTTCACTAGAATCTGATTCTGCACAATGGCATATAATAAAACCTTGAAAAATATACCAGAAGAAATAGTGTTTTTTTATCTATTGTACTATTATCCTCTGTTGCATTTGCTGTGTTATCTCAAGTGCTCAAATGACTTCAGTTCTATTATGTGATCTATTCTTACAATGCTACAAGGGAGGATAATTTTACCTAAGTGACTTTGCTTTACTTATTAAAGTAGGTAGGATGGGTAGTTACTTATCTCCAACAGATTGCATTGATCAACAACTTTAGAAAAAGTAGTCACAATATGAGCACATCTGATGGCAAGATTGGTTGATTGAACTGATTTTCAGTTCAATTCAGTTCAGATCAATTCCTTTACTTTTTCTTACTTTTTCTTCCTATTAGTTGAGAAGAGACAGATCCTTGGAAGCAAAAGAATTTCAGACAAATTCAGACAAATGCAGAAAATCTATCACAAAGATGCTGTGTGAGTACCAAAATGGTGCTTTCATATTATTGATATATTATTAAGCAGGTTAAGTCTAGAATAATATATATTTTAGAAGACCATTATATATCATCTAAATAGGCATCAGGGTCCAGCTTGTTATCCATTATGGAAGATTTCAGAAAGGAAAGAAAGAAGAATGGATATAGCAATGTTTAGAGTATCCGCTGTCTTAGAAGTCATTATTGTTCTAATTCCAGATAAAAGACTTTGTTCTGGAGAACTGCTTTATTGAGCAGGAGGACAAATATAAGTCAATAAATTTTCATTCATTGGGGCCAGAAAAACCCTGATGCAATCTTATTTCTCCTTCTAAGAAGTAACACTTTCATGGTACAACCACATTTGTACCTTGGGTAGGAGGGGGAAAGAGAGAAGTCAAGAAAGGAAGAACAGTTTCCAAGAAATTCTTTCCATTTCCCCTTCGCTGTCCCAAATCTGGATAAACAAAATAAAAACAATTTTATCTATTTTAATATAAAAAGATGTAGTAAATAAATTTCTAGACCTCACCTAGGTTTTGATGAGTTGGGAAGACATCTGGATTGTTTATATCCTTGGGGTTTAATACATCAAACCAAGAAATGATTCACCTTACTCTGCTATCAGTTGTCCTAGTAATCATTTTTGGGGTGTGTTGGGCCCCATTCTGCACAGATCATCTTTTCTACAGCTTTGTTGCAACCTGGACAGAACCTCTTGCAAATATTTTCAACATAATCCATGTGATTTCAGGTAATATTTCATCTTGGATATATTATTGACTCTAAATATTTTCTCAGACTGAACAGGAAATAGGACTCTGCAATTTTAAGATGTGTAGACACCAAATAAATTAGGCTGATCCAGCCCATAAGGAAGAAAGTTCAATGAATATTACCTGTTCTTCCTTCCAATAAAAGTACAACAAGAAGAAATTAAATAATTAAAAATGTGCTGTTCTTTAGAACATCCACAGTCAGAAGCCTAAACTGCTCTACGTTGACCTAACAACAGAGCTGGATCTATCATAAGTAAATATATTAGAAAGAAAAAAGGTTATTGTTTTATTCTACTATCGTTCCTTCATAGTCTGGCATACAGTAAAATTATATTTGAATAAATTGATAATTCAATTTGAAAACACATCATTCAAGAAGCTACTGCCAGGAAGAATCATTCAGTGTTCCAGTTACATCCCTGTCTGGTCTGTAAGGCCTTTGAGAGAATTATTCATGCTGGGGGTCACCTTGTGTTTGAGTAATTGAAATGTCATGCACCTGGGGGTTCCCTTGAACAATTGAAACTGCAATTGGCCCAAAATGCAATGGCTGAACTGAGCAGTTATGGGAAGATCCCATTGTGTTCATGTAACACATCTACTTTGGGAGATGCAGTGGTAGGCTTTGAGTTCAATTATGGCATAGGGTCTGATTACTAGTGCAGCGTCTGTTTTCCATAGTGGTGTGCACCAGGTCCCATCTATTAAGAAATGCCACCTAATGGAACCCAGGATGCAAACCTTTCCTTTGTCATGTGGAATGAGATTCATACAATCCCAACCCTGATCTGACTTAGTTGAGCCCTTAAGATCTTATTCCAAGCTTTGGGTTAGAAGGGTGATAGACCCTTGCGGGCTCTAGTTTGTGAGTTGTCACCTGTTTTTTCTGGCCTTTTTTTTTAATATTGTATGGTATATTTTATAGCATTCTAATTTATATTTTACATTTTGTACACCAGAGTTGCAATGAAGTTAGGCAACTTATAAATTAAATAAAATTGAATTCAAATTTAAATTATATGAAAGGGGGATAGCAATCTTTAAACAAAGAAAGATACACCAATTAGAGTAGTTTTTTTCCCCAAAAATAATTTGTTATATCCTGGAGGAACCAAGATAAGTATACCAATCATCAATAATCTATATTCTAATCTACAATTTGTAATCTGTAATTTATTTTCTATTAATCTATTATTTTCTTCCACTCAATTCTTAGAGACTGCCTGGACAAGTCCCTGCAGTTTTATTGACAAGGTTTTTCAGAAGTGATTTCCATTAGCTACTTCCTAGGATTGAAAGAGAGTGATTGAGAGTGATTGATCCAAGGTTACCCAGCTGATTTTGTGCCTAAAGTGGAACTCAAGGTCTCCCAGTTTCTAGCTTCATGTCTTAACATGACACCAAACTGGCTCTCTAATCCCTATTTCTATTTCTATCTCTTTCCCACTTGTTAAATGTTACACTGGCATTTTTTAATCCAACCAGGATAGAGCTGAAAGGGACCTTGCAGGTCATCTAGTCCAACCCCCTACTCAAGCAGGAGACCCTATACCATTTCAGACAGATGGCTGTCCAGTCTTTTCTTAAAAACCTCGAGTGATAAAACCCCTATAACTTCTGAAGGCAATCTGTTCCTCTGGTTAATTGTTCTCACTGTTAGGGAGTTTCTCCTTAATTCCAGGTCACTTCTCTCTTTGATTAGTTTCCATCTATTGTTTCCTGTCTTGCCTTCTGGTGCTTTGGAAAATAGGTTGACTCCCTCTTCTTTGTGGTAGCCCCTCAGATATTGGTACACTATTATCATGCCATCTGTCATGGTTCCAACAGATGAAACCCTTCAAAAGAACTTCGAGGCATTGTTTTCCTTAAAGAATCTTTTATTCGGGAAACAAAGTACTACATAGTTGAACCCAAAAACTAAATTCCCCTCCGCTGGATACACAGTAACAAAGTACAATTCCCAGCCCCAATAAACAGTCATAAAGCACATTGCCCAATTAGCTTGAAGTGCAGGCTTTCTCCCCAGCTCTCCAGCCTGCCAAAATGTTATCAGCTCTGGACCCAGTTTGTCCTTGGTTTCCCATGGCAGAGTTATTACTATTATGACTAACTGAACTCTCATCCCAATCCCCCCTCCAAACACCAACTAATTCTAAAAGCATAGAGAAAATGGCTGCATTCTCATCTGTTGTCAAAGCAAGAACATCCAATGTTAGCAGCGTTGACACCATTCCCTAGTCCTTCTTTTCATTAAACTAGACATACTCAATTCCTGTAACTGTTCTTCATGTTTTTGTCTCCAGGCTTTAATCATCTTAGTTGTTCTTCTTTGCACTTTTTCCAAGGTCTCAACACTTTTTCTTGTAATTTGGTGACCAAAACTCAATGCAATATTCCAGGTGTGGTTTTACTAAGGATTTATAAAGTGGTACTAATACTTTATGTGATTTTTATTCTGTCTCTGTTTATACAACCAAGGATTGTACTCATTTTTGGCTGCTACTGCATACTTCTGGCTCATGTTTAAGTGATTGTCCAGTAGGACTCAACATTTTTGAGCAAGGTTTTACCTAATTTGTAGTTCTACCTTTGGTTTTTCCTGCCTAGTATAAAACCTTGCTTTTCTTCACATTAAATTTCATGTTATTGGATAGGGCCATTGTTCAAGTCTGTCAAGATCTTTTTGGATCCTGAACTATTAGTATCATCTGCAAATTTGATGAGTTACCTTCCTATTCCCTCATCTAAGTCATTTATGAAGATATTGAAGAGTACTGGGCCTAAGGCAGAATCTTGTGATACCCTACATGTAGATGTAATACCATTAAGGACTTACTTATTGAGTATGGTTTGTCAGCCATACTGTTATTATTTATGTTATTTTCTGATGTTAGCCATAATTACCTCACTGTTATTCTTTATAAAGTAAAGACAACCATCCTAAGGAAATCTCAACTGTGATGATGTAATTCAGCACTGTAAAACAGATTTTTCCAGACAAATTTTAATCTTTATAAGCCATTATTAAAACATGCAATCCTTTCCCCAAATATCACTGAAAACAATTGTAACATTAGCATGATTATTATATACTGCAGTCCAAACCAAGAACTCACAGTAATACTCAAAGTAAAATATCTAACCATGGAAGTAATGGATCTTGGCAGATTGTTTACCTGCTCTTTCATCAACAGTCTCAACAACCTCTCCAACTTCAAGGGTTATAGGCAAGTAGTAGTCAAGAATCTAGTCTTACTTGTAATCTAGTTCTTTCCAGCTTGGAGAACCATCTCTCTCCTTTGCCTGGACAATAAATTGTATCAAGGTCAGGCAGCACAGAATGATGGGGAAGTATGTTTGTTCAGATGCCTTATGTCAGTACTCCCACCACTTTCTTCTCTTTCTTCCCTATCTAGGCATCTCTAGTGTATAGCCTTCCACTCACAGAAGTCTGAGCAACAGCCATAATGTTAGAAAATTGGGTATTTGAAATCCATGTGTCTTATATAATCCTAGAATGTAAGATTAGAATTTACATTAAATATCAACTAGTCCAAGTTCTTGGCTAATGTGGAATCCAAAAACTGCAGCATCTAACTTCTGTATAAACATTTCCAACAAAGTATCTATGGAGATTTTCAATCATCCAGCTCCCAAAGGTGCTTTTCAAAAGGCAACTGGACTTTCTTGGTTTTTTCCTTGCAAAACATTTCACTTTTCATCCAAGAAGTTTCTACAGTTCTGAAAAATTGAAGAAGCTGAAGAAGCTTTTTGGATGAGAATTGAAACATTTTCAAAGAAAAAAAATGAAAAAGTCCAGCTGCCGTTTGAAAAGCACCTTTGGAATTTCCCCCAAAAATCCATCACCTTTCCAAACCAACAGATTTATTATTGAACAGCGCTTGTCATTAGGAACTTGTTCCTGTTGTTTCTTGATCTACTCTTTGTTGATGTAGCCTATTGTGTAGCCGCTGCATCATATTCACATTCAACTTGTGATCCATCAAGACTCCCAGATCTTTTTGTATGTGCTACTTCCTAGTATGAGATGCAAAACATGTTCAAGGAAAAACAAAGAAAGTCCAGTTGCCTTTTGAAAAAGCACCTTTGAGAGAGTATCAGTTTCATTTCTAACATGAGGCAGTAAGACTTGATGCAATATTCTAATTGCAACTGACAAATGCAGAATGCAGAGGACTGATTATTTTTCTTGATCTACTCTTTGTTGATGCAGCTTATTGTGTAGCAGCTGCATCATATTCACATTCAACTTGTGATCCATCAAGACTCCCAGGTCTTTTTGTATGTGCTACTTCCTACTATAGTTCAACTCCTGGTTTCTCTTTTTTCCTCATTTTGAAGATAGGATCAGCATTTGCTCTTCCCCAATATTGTATCACTATCTCTGTTGTCTGTGTTCTCAAAATCAGTGAACGGGTCCAATAAAACATTGCAACAAAACACCTTGCAAATACAACCATTAAATGTTTCTATCCTTCCCTTTTCTTCCACCCTTTGGGAACTTTTTTCACCAAAATTGGGACTATCCCATATGAGAATAAATCTGCCAGTTAAAAGTGGAAAGGAAATGGAGAGAAAAAATCTGTAGATGGGCAAGCATCTGGTAAAAAGAGAACACTCCTACACAAGTTCTTTACAGCAGTATGCAGTGGTTTATAGATCTTATATCCCAAAATGGAAATTTCCAGCTGTCATGTAGTACTTTAGCCTGAATGTTATCATGTTATTGTAATGATTTTATGAATGGTTGTAGTTTCGCCCAACTTTGACAATTTCCAGGTGTGTGGATGTCAATTCCAGGAATTCTATAGCCGTGCTAGCTGTAGAGTTATGGGATTCCACATGTATGGAAATTGCCAAGGTTGGGAAATGGGTATAGATGTTCCTTGCAGCTGGGAGCACTTCTTGTTAAAATTTTGATCTCAGAGAAGAGTTAATCTAGTTGAAGTAACATTTTTGAATCAGTAGAAACTATGTTTTAGAAAGATATGATCACATATAGCTAACCATATGTTTATCAACTGGTTAAACTGAGATAAGCATCCTAAAACATTTATAATTTTCTATTTTTCTCTCCCTGATATTTTTTCAAATTGCTGTTGATTTTACCTGTTGTTTTCATCTCTCTCTCATTCCCTCACTCATTAACTCTCCTGTAGGTGTTTTCTTCTATTTGAGTTCTGCTGTGAATCCCATAATCTATCATGTGCTCTCCTGGTGTTTTAGGATGGCTTTTTTAATTGTCATCTCTCCTCAGTGCAAATATTGACACCCAAACCATCCCTCAAGCCATCCCACATCCTGGCAAATTATTGTCATACTGGGAGAACACAACAAAGCAGGATACACTGAAGAGTGAAGCCACCCAAGTATGCATCAATCTTCCTTCTGAATTCTCACCTGTCTAATAGCCGATGACAACAGTATCTGTGAAAGAGTCTCTTCTTGTGAGATGGGCAGCCATATACATGTGATAAATAAACAAATTAAATGTACTGCCAAACAGTTATTGATCCATAAGAACCAAATAGAAACAATGCTTTTGACACTAAGAGATTCCAAGTATAATTCATTTGTTGAAATAAACTCCAAATGTTATGCAAGATAAAATATGATGCAATATTGATAAATTATTTTCATAATATGATTATCTATTTCAATCCAATGATTAAAAATAAAGCAGAAGCTTAAAACGTAAAATACTAAACTGTTTTGATTAGCAATAAAATATCCATATACAGTAATAAGTATTAATAAGAACTAGTTAGCTTCCTCTACTGAGGAAAAGCCCAAGCAGTGAGGTAACTTTTAAAGTATGGCATATTGGAAGATTCATGAACTATAAAAGGTAAATTATTCTAAATTGTTTTGAGTCATTTAAACATTTTTCCACATGCCGAAGAAACTGGTCATTGATTTCTTGTTCTCTGGAATTTGCTTATATGATAAAAGCAGACAAAATGAACAAAGCGCATTTGTTCTCTATTATGTTGTGTGCCTCAAACCTAGCCCAATGTTTTTCCATGCAAATTTTTCAAGAGAAAAAGAAAAATAACAAAAGCTACATGCACTTACCCTTATTTAACAAAATGTTATTTTCTAAAAGCCTGGTAATGCTACACAATGGATCATTTTCTTTTATTCTGTAAAGCATGCCTACTGTTGAAAGCAGGTAAATAAAGTACATTAGCTTAAAAGGGGAAAAAAAGAACAAAATGGCCCATGATCTGGCATAATGTCGTGATATGTGTCTGTCTGTTTTTATATTGTAAATACAAAAGATGCTTGTTTCTACTGTTGTTTCAGAACAGTGAGCGGTGGTGCAACATGTACTACTTTAGAAGATTATGGCATTTTGGATCAAAAGAAATTCATGACAAATTTCTTTTGCTACCTCTCGTTGTCTATGGAGATTCTCAGGTATCCAGGTCATACTTGTCCCAAAGATGCTTTTTCATGAGGCAACTGGACTTTCTTTTTTTTTTTGAAGACATTTCGCTTCTCATCCAAGAAGCTTATTCAACTCTGACTGTATGGTGGGGATGATTCAGTCAGAGCTGAAGAAGCTTCTTGGGTGAGAAGGGAAATATCTTCAAAGAAAAACAAGAAAGTCAATTTGTCTCATGAAAAAGCATCTTTGGGACTAGCTATGTCACTGAAGAGGAACCTATGTGGTGCTTCCTTCAAGAGTTAACAGACTTATTATGGACAAAGATGTCTTTATTGTTCTGAGCAGGCATCCTTTAATATCACTGTGAGAGCCTGGGCACTGTTATAGGTTCTTGCTACCTTATGAAACTGAAAAACAAGATCTCCGTATTTTGTTTGCTTTAGTTTTTAGAATGCTAGTTACTTTTTTATTTTTATTTTTTACATTTTTCCGAAGTCTTTCTACTGCTGCTGGTATTGTTCCTTTGTTCTTTATTCATCAGACTTGTCCACTGATATAAGTATAGTGATCCCTGAGACAAATAGCAGCACTATTTCCATTGCTGGAAACTGATCCCTATCACTCTGCACCTAAGGAAACTGCAATACATGAATCCATTCCTTAGCAACTTCTTATGTGTCTTTGCTATTTCTAATTCTTTATCATTTCCCATGCTGAACTCCAGATCAAGTTAACTGTACATAGATTTCATATCTGTTAAAGATAGAAGGGGCACTTGTAAAACTCTATCCCAGTCAGTAGATAATGAGGGCCTTAGACTATGTTAAGAAGCTTGCAGAAAAAAAGAAAGAAATGGATTCCACTCTATTTGCCTTTATGCCGTGCTTCCAATCAATGGACTTTCTCCTTTTGTACATCCCTAAAAGTCATGCAATCAGAAGACTGATCCCATTTACTTCAACAGCATGCAACTGCTTCAATTATTTGCATTATACATTCTTATAAGCCATCTCTCTTCCACCGATTGCTCAAAATAACAAGGATTTTCATTATTTATTTTGCTTCTGATACTTACACTTTTATGCACTTTGCTAGATTTGCATCCTTCCAGGGTCACATAAGTGCATTTTCAATGCATTTCACTGACTCTAGAAAGAGCACAAGGAAGAGCAACAAAGATGATCAGGGGCCTGGAGGCTAAAACATATAAGGAACAGTTGCTGGAATTGGGTATGTCTAGTTTAATGAAGAGAAGGAGGAGGAGTGACATGATAGCTGTGTTCCAATATCTCAGGGGTTGCCACAAAGAAGAGGGAGTCAAGGTATTCTCCAAAGCACCTGAAGGCAGGACAAGAAGCAATGGATGGAAACTAACTAAAGAGAGAAACAACCTAGAACTAAGGGGAAATTTTCTGAAAGTTAGAACAATTAATCAGTGGAACTACCTGCCTCCAGAAGTTGTGAATGCTCCAACACTGGAAGTTTTTAAGAAGAGACTGGACAGCCATTTGTCTGAAATGGTATAGGGTTTCCTGCCTGAGCAGGAGGTTGGACTAGATGACCTCCAAGCTCCCTTCCAGCTTTATTGTTATTGTTATTATGACTCACAAAACAGCTTGTTCTCTTACCTACTATCAGAGGTGTCATAAGATTGGGAGCTTTTATGACAAACTGCCCCTTTTATATGTCCGTGAAACATCATGCTGAAGGGTGGAGATTGAATTAGGATGGCATGACCTTGTTTAATCATTTTCCCCTTTGATCAGCCTCAGTACCTCTGCTTATTACACTATTGTATGAAGTAACAGGAGATTAATATAACATTGTACTTTGAGCCATTCTTGCCTTCAAAGTCAGGAAGGCCTATATAAGCTAGAAGTTTCTAAGAAGAGACTGGACATCCATTTGTCTGAAATGGTATAAGGTTTCCTGACTGAGCAGGGGGTTGGACTAGATGACCTCCAAGATCCCTTCCAACTTTATTATTATTATTATTATTATTATTATTATTATTATTATCTAAGCTAGATACTAAACACATATATGCACACAAACACAGATGTAGAGTCATAGATTTGTAAAGTACATGTCTGTCTGTCTGTCTGTGTGTGTGGGAGAGAGAGAGAGAGAGAGAGAGAGATCAAAATTATGCAAGCCATGGTATTCCTTATGGCATTCTATAGTAGTGAAAGTTTGAACTTTTGAATTAAAGATGCCTGAGAATACCATGGACAGCCAAGAAATCATCCAACAGGTCAGTCCAAAGATCTCACTCAAACAACAAATGATATGGCTTAAACTATCCTACTTCTGACAAGTTATGTGAAGCCTCTGCTTTCTGGAAAAGACTCTAATGATGGGAAAAGAAAGAAGGAAAAGGAAGAAGAGGACAAACAGAAGTAAGGGGAATTTACTTAGTTACAATAGCAATGAGTGCACTATTAAGAGACTTGCTAGAAATGGATCATGATGGAGAAATCTATTTATGGGATCTCTAAGAGTTAAAATTCCTTGATGGCACATCACCATCATATATAGATACGGTGTGTATGTTTGTGTGTGTGTGTGTATGTGTGTGTGCTTACTGACTGCATGTTCAGCGACCGTTCAAAGTTACCACAGCATGGAAAAAATAGAATAGAATAGAATAGAATAGAATAGAATAGAATAGAATAGAATAGAATAGAATAGAATAGAATAGAATAGAATAGAATAGAAAGGGACCTTGGAAGTCTTCTAGTCCAGCCCCCCATCTCAGACAAGTGATTGTTCAGTCTCTTCTAAAAACTTTCAGTGATGGAGTGCCCATGATTTCTGAAAGCAAGCTGTTCCACTGGTTAATTGTCCTCACTGTTAGGAACTTTCTCCTTAATTCCAGGTTGCTTCTCTCTTTGATCAGTTCCCAACCATTGTTTCTTGCCCTGCCCTCTGGTGCTTTGGAGAATAATTTCACCCCCTCTTCTTTGTGGCAGCCTCTCAAATACTGGAATACTGCTATCATGTGACCCCTATTTCTTCTTTTCTTTAGACTAGCCAAACCCAAGTTCTGCAGCCGTTCTTCATATGTTTTAGTCTCCAGGCCTTGGATCATCTTGGTTGCTCTTCACTGAACTTTTTCCAAGGTCTCAACATCTTTTTTGTAGTATGGTGACCAAAATTGGTTGCAATATTCCAAGTGTGGTCTCACTAGGGTTTTTATAAAGCAGTACTAATACTTGGCGTGATCTTGGTTCTATGCTTCTGTTCATGCAACCCAGGATTGTATTAGCTTTTTTGGCTGCTGCTGCACATTGCTGGCTCATAGTCAAGTCCACTAGGACACCAAGGTCCCTCTCACAGTTACTGTTTTTGAGTCAGGTCTCACCTAATCTATACTTGTATCTTTGATTTTTCCTGCCTAAATGTAAGACTGTTTTTCTCCCCACTAAAACTCATTTTGTTGGATAGGACCCATTGTTCAAGTTTGTCAAGATCTTTTTGAATCTTTTTTTTTAATTGAAAATTTTTAAAATTTTACAAAAAAGTTCCCTTCCCCAAACCCTCCCAACCCACCCCAACCCTCCCCCTACCTTCCCAGAGCTGAATACAGGCTTAATTAAAATTTAAAAGAAAAAAATTTAAACACAAATAAACCATATACAAATTTGGTTACAATAATTAAACAAATTATAAAATACTTTAACACTGATATTTAAAAAGCAGAAAAAGAAAAAGAAAAGAAACAAGAAAAAGAAAAAAAAATAGAGAAAAAAAGAATATCTAAAAAATATCTTAAAGTTTAAATATAAGTTATTCAAAAGCTAAATAATATTTTTTTATATCATACTTGTATTGTATAAAATTTATCCATCTTTTCCATACCAAAAGGTACTTCTCTT